ACATAACTATCGAATCATTCTTTGATCCACCGCACAGGGTTGTTGCTTGGATAAAGAGAAATCCACACTTTTAAATGGATTTTGACGAGTTTTGCATCTTACCCCTGTATCAGACAGCAGGGAAGGGGGAGTCCAGTTTTTCCCTTCCCACGACTGAGTCTTGGGCCATCTTCTCTGGGCAACAATGAATATGGACTTGATTACCCTTAAAGGGTCGTGGTGGCGCTGCGGATTAAACCGCAGAAACCTCTGGGCTGCAAGGTCAGAAGACCAACCGTCGTCATAAGATCGAACCCACGCGACAGAGGGAGCTCCCATCGCTTGTCCCAGCTCCTGCCAACCTAGCCGTTCGAAAGCATGTAAAAATGCGAGTAGATGAATAGGTACCACCTCGGTGGGAGGGTAACAGTGTTCCGTGTCTAGTCGTGCTGGCCACGTGATCACAGAAAAACTGTCTATGGACAAACACCGGCTCTACAGGGGATGAGCACTGCACCCTAGAGTTGGACACGACTGGACTAAATGTCAAGGGCAACCTTTACCTTTACTTATTGGGGGTTCTTAACTAGAGGTTGGAAAGTCATCCATCCAGGACGCTTTACCCGTGGAATGTCTGCGCTGGAAGGGGGTTGGGCTAGATGACCCTAGAGGTCCCTTCCCAGCCTAGAGTTCTGCGATTCTGTAATGATAATGTTAAGAAGCATATCCTGAATATCTTGGGGATCCTTATGGGTTTTAGAGAAGTTCGCTTCTTCCCGAGAGGTCTTGGGATGGGCACGGGAAGGAAGAGACCGATGAATGAAAGCTGCCATCCTAGTTTACATGGTTGTCTGGGTCATTCTGAAGTCCCTCTAGACCTGGTGGGACTTATTTCTGAGTCCGTGGACCTGATTCAGAACACGTTCTCTTCTTCCTGTAGCATCATGGCCTCCCTGCTTCCTTCCATAAGATGACCCACTGGCCAGGCTGTGGTCAAGGGACATCACAGGATCGTACCGGTCAGGCCAAGAATATGAAAACTTGAACTGAAAACCATCAATGGTCTTGAAGCATTTTGCCTCTGAAGCACAAGAAACTTCCAGTGAAGAGGGGACAGAGGAGGAGTGACCTGGATTTTCTCAAAGACCTTTGACAAAGAGAAAGACCTCCAGAGTAAACATGGAAGATCGAGGATGAGAGGAGGAGGGAAGGAGGAACAAGTTCAGCAGGTTAAGAGACCATTTTCTTGTCTCCTCTGGGCACTTTAGGAAGCATGAAAAACGAGAACGAGAAAGCAGAATGAAAGCAGACGTGTCCAGAGACCTTTGGTGTCAGGCAGGAATAAGGAGAATTGCTGCTGAGGTAGGGGCTGAAGAGGGAAGCTGTCGTTCTAAGGTAAAGGTAAAGGTTCCCCTTCACGTTTAGTCCAGTCGTGTCTGACTCTTGGGCAGGGTGCTCATCCCCGTCTCCAAGCTGTAGAGCCAGCGGTTGTCCAAAGACAGTTTCCGTGGTCATGTGGCCAGTGTGACTAGACACGGAACGCCGTGACCTTCCCACCGAGGTGGTACCTATTTACTGACTTGCATTTTTACATGCTTTCGAACGGCTAGGTTGGCAGGAGCTGGGACAAGTGATGGGCGCTCATTCCATCACGTGGATTCGATCTCATGACTATTGGTCTTCTGACCTTGCAGCACAGAGGCTTCTGCAGTTTAACCCGCAGCGCCACCACGTCCCACAAGCTGTCATTCTAAAAGCTTTTAAATCTTTTTAAATTGCTTTCAAGGGGTTGTGTGCACTCCTTTCTAATGATTTAGATGCCTTATGGGTCTTTAAAACAGTGTCATTCATTACTTTTTAAATTATTTCAATATTTATGCTTTAAAACGTTTTGTAAGTCACCTCGAGTCCCTCTGTGGAGTGAAAGGCAGACTACAAAACATACAAGGAAGCAAGGAAAGAAGCATGCTACTCCTTTTTTCCCCAGTTTTGGAAAAAGTGTGCTGTAGATAAATGTTAAAGGCGGGTCCTTAAAGGTGGGATCTCTTTAAAATAGGTCAAGAAGGCTTCTCCCAAGAGGACAAACATGAGCAGTGGGATCCCCAGACGTGCCGGTACTGGAGTTTTGCACAAATGCACGATCAGGCGTCCCTTCAGGCCAGTGGACCCCCAAAATGGGTTGCAACGGTGGCCGATGCAAATGGAATGTTCAGTCCCCATCTCGCATGTTATAACAATTTTTATCGGGATGGGTGGGGATCATGGAAGAAGGGGCTCCCTTCCAGGTCCATGGATGGCTCCAGAGCCTCTGAAGATCATCTGTCTCTCGGCCACCTGGGCCACAGTTCCAGTAGAAGTTTTGATGAGTGATGATAAGGGAAAATAGAACCTCCAGACACTGAGGAAGTATACCTGCGCCCACCAGGTGCTGAAGATGAACATTGCCTCCCACCACTAATTTTGAATGGTTCTTCTGACAGTTATGTCTTTCGGCTGGCTCCCTGATGCATGGAAGATGCTGGGGCCATGGTGGTCCAGGGGACACCTTCCTATGATGCTCTTTGGGGACCCTTCGAACTTGGGTGTGCGGGGGTTTGATCTCTCTAAGCTGGGTGGCTTGCTGCTCTTTCCGCTGCTTTGCATGGTGCTGCTGAGCTGTTTGTCCCGATTTGAATCATCCAGAACGGGGTGCCACGAGGGTCGAACCCACCTTGTTCTGCAAAGCCAGCAGAATCGGTTCCAAGCAGAATCTATTCCGAGCCAGCTCTATTTGGGGACTGTTTTGGGGCAGAGTGCCATCTATGGGCCAAATTAGAAATGCATCCATGTCGGGAACATCCCTGTCTTGACTTCCCATTATATAAAAGAGCGTGCTCACCAGAGACGAATCTCAGCAGATCTGAATCCACTGAGATTCCTCTACCCCTAGCAGAACAAAATAAAAAATCCTACTTCCCTTATATAAAAGAGTGTGGCTCGCCAGAGACGAATCTCAGCAGAACTGATTCCGCTGAGATTCCTTTATCCCTAGCAGAACAAAATAAAAAATCCTACTTGATGATAGAGAAAAGAAAGTGAGAAAATGGTAGCAATATTGACAAGGCGTAAGAGAGAGGCCCACCATATATTTAACATGTGATTTTTAAAGGAAAAAACCACAACAGTTCAAAAGGTTTGTTCCAGTCTGTTTGTGCTCCCTCAACACACTGCAGGGAAAACAATTAGTTGGACTTCGTTAGGCAAAAATGTTCTCATTTCTAACATTATTTGGAAAAGAAAGGGGGTCTCCAAAGGCATATAAAAATCCCAGTCTCTCTTCACCTGTCTAAGAAGTACACCTGCTCAGGTTTCTATGTATGCGTTCATCTAGGCCAGTGGTTTCCAACCTTGGGTATTCCAGGTGTTCTTGGATTAGGCCAGTGGTTTCCAACCTTAGGTATTCCAGGTGTTCTTGGACCGCAATTCCCAGAAGCCCCAGCCAGCACAGCCGGTGGAAAAGGCTTCTGGGAACTGCAGTCCAAGAACATCTGGGCGATCTTAGAAACCATGGGTTGAGTGAGAAATTTATTTGGTTCATTCTCTGAATCACAAGATGGGATCCAAAGATCATCTAGTCCAACCCTTGGCCGACACAAGAATCATTTTGATTTTTATCTCCCTGAATTCTCAGGTTCCTTTGGAAACAAATTAAATATATTTTAAAACGAGGAAGGTGAGGGTAAAGAAACACAGAGATATTCGCAAGGATTCGAGTACTTATTCAGACATGTTTGTGGAGGTGAATTAGGCTTGCTGCGTCTGTTCTTCTGACAGGATCATCATCTTTAACAACCACAGGGCAGACAGATAGAATGTGGTCTTGTCCATGCTGGGAATAATGGTGCCTGTTGATTTTGGCCAGCACAGAGAGTGGAGAATTTTGTTTGGTTTGTATCTTAGGAGGACCGAGTAAAATTTGCCAATATCTACATAGGTCCGATGGAAAGAATCTGAGATTTTTCAGCATGTGAACTTGGGAGGGTGAAACTGGCAGATGCGTTGGTCCCTGGGTCTGATGTGAAGGAGTCGCACGTTAAATAAAAAAGTGAAAACATTGTGTGCAATAAAGACATTTTATATGATCTTTAGAAAGTGCTAAAGGTTGAACCAGCAAATCCAAAGTGCCACAGATCTTGAACCCGGAACTCTGCAAGTAATGCCCAACCTACAGGGTTGACTCCTGCAGTATCAAAGCAGGTTGTAAATTCTGGGAGCTAAGCCAAGTGTCTGTTCCAGCTCCCTAGAAAACACGGCTCAGACTTCCTCCTCATTCCCTCCCCCCCCCCAATTTCTGGAATCTTGTCTTCTCATGTGTGGCAACGATACTCTGTACATGCTCAGAGGAGGAACTGTTCATGTATTGAGATGTTTCTGTATTCAGAAGAACCTTTTGTCATAGACCATGGATCAGATTAATCCATACACAGAAAATAACCAAGATTTAAGTTTTCCTTTCCTCATCCCTTTTAGCATTTATTTAGACCCTATAATGTGATCCACCGTTTTGTCCTGAAAAATTTGGGAAACTTTTTAAAAAAATTTTAAGGTCCAAAAAAGCCAAGAAGGCCACGTCCATACCTGCTGGAATATTCTAGCAGTTGTATAGCCCTCAAAAATAACTTCCCCAATTTCTGCCTAAAACCGGTTGCTTTTGACTCATGTGGAAGCCAAGAGAGGTAAAAAAAATGCTTGCAAGCAAATCTTTTGCCGACAAAAAAGGAGTGAAATAAATGTCCTTCTGTGGTGTCACCTAGTTAAACCCAAGCACCCTGCCTGGGATAGGCTGAAGCATAGCTGCCTGGGTGAGTAATCGTAGTAATAGTGACACCGAACACACCCACTGAGAACCTTATGCCGTCAAGAAAGGGGAGAGAGAAAAAAGTTGGACTCGAAGAGAGGGTTGGTAGGCGTGGAGTTCCTTAGAGGCGGTGTTTCAAGGATCTCTCCACATGTTTATAAGTCCGGGCAGGGCTGAGATCTGCTCAAAAGAGAGTCAAGGCTGGAGAACTGAAGCCGGAGGCATCCTCTGATTCCGGACACCAAGCCTTGGACAGGGAAGAATCCAGACACCATGGGCAGGCAGAAGGCGCTTCTGACAGCCATCGGCCAGAGGCTGAGGATTCGGAACATGCTGGTCCGGCAAGCCCTGGCCGAATGCCTGGGGACCCTCGTGCTGGTGGTAAGTCAACGGGGAGCACGGGATTTGTTCTGGGGGGCGCACAGTTCTTTTGCACAATTTGGCTTTTCAAGGCATGGTGTAAGTTCTTCAACGTCAGTGGTAAGGATTTTCTTTTAAGAAGGACCCTCCAGAGATGTCAGGAAGGGCCACCGTCAAGGGCCGTTGAAATGAGAAGGAGTTATGGGAGATGGCCAATTGCAGGCTTGGGGAACCCCTGCTTGTTTCCTTAGGCTTGTGTGGCAAAAAAAAATCCCCTCATGGGTTGTGTCTCCTTGAAGCTTTTGCCTTTGGGAGGCACAGCTCATTTCAACACTGGAGCACGTTCTAAGACTGAAAGTTTTGGAAGAGGCAACCTTTTGAGTTACACAGAACAATAGGGAGCAAGGCTGAAGCGCTCTGTGTAGCCACCATCAAAATGCCAGGATTTGCTGCAATGCTCACCTTAGCAAGCCCTTGGGTCCAATTCAGCATTGCCCTGTGGCCCGGGCAGAAGAGGACTTAGCCCAGGGCTCAGCGGTACCTCCAATATTCGTTCGCCTGCGGCTTGAGCCCTGATTGAAGTTTCATGTACAACCTGCAGGGGTGAACTGAGACATTTGTGCTGAAACATAAGACAAATGTGCTTTTCTCTCCCACCCCCAAATCTTTTTTCCCGTCTCCCTGAAGTTTGCCACTGTAAAAAAGAAAGATGAGCTGCCGGTAATGGTCCTTTCCTTTGCTGATAACGGCGTTCTGAGGTTGTCCCTTGCTGATTTACAAGCAGGGCTGAGATTTTGGAGCCTCCGGTGTCCAGAACAGTAATAAGTTGCTCGAGAGGGGCTCAGGATACAGGGGGCCATGCTTACAAGCCTTTTTGGCTTCCCCATGTGGTGGGTACTGGTGTCCACATGTGCCGTTTACAGAGTCTCCGCTGCATGCTTTGACACTCAGCTGGAGAAGCAAGCACTGCAGCCATCTGCATCAAAGGTGAATGCATTTTACTTTGGAGTAAGTGGCTATAATGGTCGAAGTGATGTATACGGAATTATCAGATCACCCCCTAGAAATAAGTTGTTGATTCTTTCGCATAATTGTGATGTTGCCTCTGGCATCCATGCAACAAACAGGCTTTTTAAAGATCTTGACTGCTCAACCAGAAAATCCACATCTGTGGAGGAACAGAGGGAGGATCATGTCCCTCCACGTTCTCCGAGACACGTCCCATGGAAAAGAACGGACCCTCTGAAAAGAACAAGCGGGTTTGCGAAAGGTTGGGGCCTTTTATGGGGCTGAAGTTGGTGGAGACCAGACTTCCAGACAAGCCTTTCCCTTGTGTCGTGACCCCACCCTGTCCATGAGATTTTATGGGGAGGGTTTCCTTTCATCTCTAACCTTCTCAAGTCTTCTCATCACTTCTTGAGTCTTATCGCCCAAGCATTCCTTGGAGAGATGGAGAGATGAAATAGCTGTGGGGGGCTTCCTGATCCGAGAGCCTTTGGAGTCCCCCGCCTGGAGGAAGACGCCACCTCAAAGAGCTTCCAGAATCGGTGGTGGTTCTGCTCACATCCAAGAGGCCACGGACAGCTATTTCATATCAATCCTTTTATGGATTTGTTGTGGTCAGGATCAGAAAAAAAGGGGGGAAGAAACAAGGTGAATGAACGATGGCTGAAAGAGAATGGCATCTTGAAGAAGACCATAACAGCATAAAAAACACACCTGTATGCTGATTGATTTACAGGAACACCGTTCCTTTTTTATGCATCATGCAGACTTGGAAATATTGTTCCTTACTCTGTCTCCCAACTTCTTCTCTCCTGCTTTTCGGATTCTCTTTGCTCCCCCCCTTTAAAAAAAAAAAATCAAATATCTTGTAGGAATGCTGGTGCAGGTCTTTCCTGAGCATCACAATTGCATTGCCTTCTCTTCTGTTTATAAGCCTGCCTTGTCTGCTTCCTTATTAATGCCATTTGCGGCTTTTATCTGCCGGACTCCCTTCGCCTCTTGCCCAGAAGGGAGGCGATTGGGGGCTTCATATCAGATGGGAGAGTGGAGGGACGGCAAAATGCGGAGAAGGTCCCTTCCAGTTCTGCAGTTCTAAGAGGATGATTAATGGGAATGAGACAGGATGGTTGCGCAATAAATGCTCTGTTTGGAAGGCAAGGGGGATCTGAGGGGGGCGGGCGGGTTTGGCAGGATCTGGGGGCCCACGGTCAGGCCGGTTTCTGAGGCCAATGCAGGGACTTTTCCCCTCCTTTTTGGCCATTTCCAAAACATCGAAACTGCTCATCCCTGGTTTCTCTTTCTGCATTCTTTCCTTCTTGCTTGCACAGAGTCTCCTGGCGATTTGCAAAACGGCAAGGCACCTCAAGAGGGAAGTTGCCCCAAATTGGCACTTTTTGTGTTGCCTTCTGTTCAGAGGTCCCAACAAGTCCCATGCTTGCATGCCGACATACATACATACATACATACATACATACATACATACATACATACATACATACATACATACATACATACACACACACACACACACATACATACATACATACATACATACATACATACATACATACATACATACATACATACATACAGAGATGGTTCCCCCTTTCTACCACCTCTTCAGTGTGTGGCTGGGTATTACTGCCTGTTGTTGGCCATAAGGCGCCGTGTTAATGGCTGCACAGGGCTGTCATTTTTAAATTCCCTTGGATGTCTGAGATCAGACGATGGATGCCTCAGCTGCCATAATGAACGCATGGAAGCAGTCTGTGGGCCCAGGGCATGGCAGGACAACCTTACCCAGCCTGTTCTCCCCGCCCCATCCTTTCCAAATAAATGTTTGCAGGGGTGCTCGTTGGTTTACGTGGCTGCTTCTGCCAGCCAGGGCTCACGGTGTCCCACGCTCCTCCTGCTTCTGAACAGATCTGGGGAGCGTCCTAGATGAAAAGAAGCAGGCAAGAGTTTGCAGTATTTCATTTATTTGCAAGGGGAGGTGAACGTGCCAAAGCCAGAGAGCGATGTGCGGCTCTCTCTTCTTGCCTTGAGCAAACCTGGCTCTTATTGATCAGCTGTTATCAGCCATCTGCTTGGATTATTACCTAGTAATTGGCCTAACAAAGCCCTGTTTGGCCGGCAGCTACAATAACGAAGTTATCTCCTCTCTGGCCCAGGGCCAAATTCCTAAAAGTACGACGTGGTGTTCTTCAGTTCTAGCATGGCTCTCTGGCTGGGACTTGCCGTTCTTCAGTTCTAGCATGGCTCTCTGGCTGTATCTGCCTGGGAACGTGGACACGCCTTGGCTCCCCCCTTACTAGCTGGGTATACTGTATGTTCTCTGACAGCTCTCTCATACCCTTACTTTATCTATCAAATATTGGTTGTTATCATTTTCCTTGTCAGGGACTGCCTCACTCCTTCATGGCGATCGCCGCCTGGCATGTCTGCGATGCCAAGGAAGCCATTATTCAGCAAAGGCCCATCTCTCTGTTTTTAAGTGCACCCATCAATGCCCCTGGCAGTTCGCAGAGTGAAAATCCTTGTACCAAGAAGGCTATGCTTTAAAGTTCAACTTTATTGAACGATGGGTGGGTGGACTAGCAAGGGCAGGAATGGATGTGGCATGTCTGTGATGCCAAGGAAGCCATTATTCAGCAAAGACCCATCTCTCTGTTTTTAAGAGCACCCATCAATGCCCATGGCAGTTCGCAGAGTGAAAATCCCTGTATCAAGAAGGCTATGCTTTAAAGTTCAACATTATTGAACAGTGGGTGGACTAGCAAGGGCAGGAATGGATGAGAGAGGCAAGAAGTACTGTAGCGTGAAGGGCTGCACTCCATTAGAAAACAGGGGTGGGTGAGTTATGAAGAAGTGAAATGACTGTGAATATGCCCTACCCTTCAAGGCAGCAAAGCAGAATAGGAAATGACATGTCTCAAGAGACTAATACACCTTCAGGTAGTTGAAGACATGTTTACTAGTCCTCCCTGAATATGTAGGACTACAACTGCCATCGTCCTCAACAGGTCTTACCCCAGCTGTATATGTACAGGGGCAGTAACAGACATTATATATAGCCCATAATTGGAAGAGGATAATTCTCCAGTGCTGATTGTCAGTGAATGTCGCAGCAAGAGCTTTTCTAGCCTCCTGGAGTTTGCAAAAATCTGTTCTGTGATTGGTCTTTGTGACTTAAGCATGGGGTTCTTTTGAAGCTTGTTTTCTCCCCCACAAAAGAGGTCTCTCTCGCTCTCACTAATACGCTTTCGGTCTTAAGGACGAGCTGTTTCTGCCCTAGGACTGTATCCTAGCAGCGCAATCAGCGTTATTCTATTCAGAGTTAAGTTGCCTCAAACTTACTGGGGCTTCGTTCCTTATTAGCATCCATAGGATTGCGGTCAAAGGCTGCAGTCCTACAGGCAGCTGTCGAGAAGTAATTTCTCCCCAACACATGCTGCTGAGAAAGCATGCGCGCCAGACTGCACTGCAACAAAACACATCTGGCTAATTGACTTTGAACCCTTCTGAGAATTTCCACCCTGTGCTGAGCTCCTGGCCCGCCTTGAGCAATTCCGTGATCTCGGAAAGCTTCGGAGGGTGCCAAGTTTAATTAAATGAAGCCACACACACCCTGCAATCAGTCATTCAAGATCTGTATCATCTCTCGATGAAAACATCTCCAGCCTCAGGTGACGAAGGCTCCTTCTCTGTATGGAGGCTCCCAACAGAGCAGAGCTTGAAGAGGAAGGCGGTGGCTTTGGAGGATGATTAAGGAGCGAGATGCGAAGAGTTTGAAGTGACAGAAAGATGGATCAGAGCGGGAACGAATTGTACCGGGGCATCAAACATCTGTGCGGCAGCCGATCGCAGAGGGTGGGGTCTTGGGTTCACAGAGCTCTTAGCGCCCTGCACCCATCCTGCCCGGCAGGGTGGGGAGGCTGAGTTAGCAGCTGCCACCATCACCGCCATGAGGCTGATTCTAAAAAACGAGAAGGGCTGCGTTAGTCGAAGCCACATGC